AAGAGCAGGCCTGTTAACCTGCATGTCAAGGGTAAATGAAGTAGGTCCTCTCCTATACAGTGTGTAGCATTTGTGATGTTTTGGGATAAAAAGCAAAGAATTTTGATATATTACACAACATCTATTTGAGATTTTACCATTTAGAGGTGGCATACAGAAATGTTGACTTCTACTTTAGTTCTACAGAAAAATAAGATAAAGTATACTGTATAAAACTTATTAATCTACTTATTTTCTTTTGCTGTCCTCATTTTCACCAATAAAAATGCCAATGTAGTCCTATAAAAAGTGGTTGTCACTGTTCATTACAAGTATAACTTATATTTGCAAATCTACTAAGTAGCATTCAACTACTGCAAGGAGCTACAATAAGTGCAAATCGTTATTTTATAGCTATTTAAATATCCCCAGGTGCTCCTATTTTTAAGGAAATCTGTCCATGGTCTTTTTTTTCTTCTTCATACGGTATACACCGTTTTTTTTTTTTCCACTTGGAGTGTCCATGACACTTTATGTATATTTTACGAATGTTATCACATTTCATTTTTCTACATGACACAATTGCTGTGTTTAAATTATAATACCAAAAATATAAAAAATAAATGTTTTATAACAAATCTATGAACATAGAATTTCATCATGTAATCTTGCATTCTTACAAAACTTTCAGTATTTTCTAAACAATGTGAAGTTATATTTAAAAAACCAGGAGTGACACTATGTGAACTGTTTGTCATTAACAGTAACATTTATATTGAGCTATTTAAAGCAATTTACACCTTTAACTGTATATAAATAAGAGCACAACATATACTAGATACTACACATCTACAGTATAGCTTAATAAATTTCTTTACCTGATACATTTTCTCTATGTTAGATCTTTGAAATATAAGTACATGATTTCTTTCTAAAAGGAAATATATATTTTTTTAAGTTAAGGCAGTCTTCTTCCATTCAATTTACTGTTTCACAACTTTTGAGTGAATTTACTTCATATCCATATTTGATTAAAGAGAAACAGAGTTTAAAAAACATTCTATTTTAACATGGAATGAACAAATTCTTATTCCCTTACAGCTCAATGGTCAAACAATAACTAGATTTAATTATATTAGTTAGAAAATAAATAGCATATCTAATATTTATTAAAGTACAAATTACACTGCTGAAAGCATTACCTCTGTTGTGAAACCAGTAACTATAAATCTAAAAACAAGGAGCTAAACAACTAAAACAAGACAGTCATGTTACAGTCATGGGTTTGCTTAAGAGATTTTTTTCATCTGATTGTTTGTTGTGCACAGAAACCACATTTTCATGACTTTTGTTTCTGAGAAAAACAGCAGGAGAACCCTACCCATGATTAATCTTCATAGAAATTCTTCTTCATTTGCATAATATTGGGAGAGAAGTGGGTATTCTTAAGCAGAAAAGGCTGAGCCAGAAAAAACAAGCAAGTATTGGACCATATTTCATTTTGGCAAAGCAGGCTGTCTTGAGTAAAATTAGAATAAACACTGAAACGCCCCCACTGTTGTCTCACCCAGAAGCCTCCTCTAGGCCAAGCCCTAAGCTTATCCTGAATAATTTAGCACAAGTGACTTTCGGAGAATGTCCTGATTCTATTGCAACAATCATGGCAATTAGAATCAGACCTGATTCTTGGGCACAACCATTACAGTATATTCTCTTCTTTAATTTAGGAAAATAGATATTCTGCCATTCAAGAATGCTTCTCAAGAAAAGGTAGCTCTGAAATGCATGATAACATTCCTTTAAAACTTTATACTGCTTGTCCAAGACCCTACTACAAAACTGGGAGATGAGATATTTTATTATAGGAGAATTCTCGCTGTCAGACACAATTAGCCGTGAGATATAAATAGTATCTAAACACAATAAGAGAAATCATAAATGATTTCTGGGCAGTATTAAACCAGTGCTGCTCTTTTAACGTGCTTTAAAACAATTCAGTTTAAATCAAACAAATTCTGTGTTATATACACATTGTTTAATTAAAGGGAAAAACATTATATAATTGTTTCACAAGGCAAATTGTGGATTGTGTCAATGTACGATGATTAACAAGGACAGATAGTATGACTAACTCTATCTACAGGACAAAGTAATATTTGCTCCATCAAACTTCATTAAAAAGTATACATGCTGTAGGTTTACAGCAAATCATAAGTACTTGTACTCCAACCAGAATACACTGAACTTGGAAGGCACATGCTGCAGACAAAGCTGATAGCACAATTATTTCCTAGGGTTTTCTCTGGAACAATGCTGAAAGACAATGCCCCAGAAGAATTCCTTTGAGTCCGATACAAATTTTGTAAAGTATTATAAATTCATCTCAAAGATCCTGTTTTATTATTTGTTTCCTAACTGTTCTTAACAAAAACATATCATGTGTAAGTACAGATATACGGATACCAGGTTGTGTTAAACAGCAACATGGCCAGCAAAATGAAGTTGAATACGACACTTAATGGTTAAAAAATTCCACAAACTGCCAACGGGAAAGGACGTGACCCTTTGATTTGTGATCAATTCCCCCAATGCTTTATAGATGATATCAAAGAAAATAAATAATTTATTAGAATTCCATGGACCAAACTTCTTTGTAGGGCTGTGAAAGATCACCCTAACATGTAATAATTTTCTTTTTTATATAGCAACAATTAACTTAAATTACATTTTAAATTTAAATACTTATATGTTTATATACATTTATGTTTTAAAAATATATACTTGTATACTGTACATTATACTTGTATATATTTAAACAGGGGTTTAAGCGGTTGAGTTACAGTACGTCAGCACGTACATCAGCATGTTTTTGTTTCACCGATTTGATTATCTGCTTATACTGTATGCGAGGAACAGACCTGTACCAACAGTTAAAATTGCAAGACCTTTTCTTCTGAAAAACCCTGGAGGAAACAGTACCCCGGTTTCACTTCTTACATTCGGCTTCTATTTTGAATTCAAAGATGACATTAGATTTGAAAAGGTCAAAATGTGTCTCTGCTACCTGCCAATTTGTGGTTTTCAAAAGATCAGCACAGAGGAAAGACTACGGGAATGACAGCCCCGTGGATCCCAGTAGCATCTCTATTCCAAAAGACCGGCTTTTGCGAACATCACAGGTTCCTACACTTGTGAAGTGTATAAAAAACCGTAGCACTCAGTAAATTAATCACATACTGCATACGCAAGTATTTTCAGACTCATTTAAAAACAAAATAACGATAATATTACATATCTCCATTACAATGTCCAGTACAGATAAAACACTGAAGGAAACGTTGTCATTGTGTTAATTAAGCCAGGCAAAAGCTTTAAAGAAACAAAACAGGAAGGCTGTGTAAAACACCATGGTTGATTAATCATAGACAAGAGCACACATCACCAAAGTTTGGCAAAGATGTACAGTAAATCAAGATCATCAGATTATGTCTCTTTTTTAGATCTAATATCGATTTCACAGTTTGATCTATATATGGTGTAACGCATATGGCCTCCATTGCTTACTAAAACTGGCTTACCAGCGCGGTGACGTCACTGCCCTTCCCTGTTAATAGCAGGGATTGCAGCCGCCGGGCTGACAGAAGATTTCCCTTTGGCTCAAGTTATGCCGGAGGCCCGGGTTTGAGTCCCCGACAGTGGGGGGCTGACCTGAGGCGGCAGCGGCAAGGGCGCCTACGTGAACCCCAAAGAGTAACATTGGTGTCAGAGTGGGGTGAGATAGCCCTTTGCCGAGGACGGCGAGTCAAGCGGGGGAGAGTGTAATGCATACGGCCTCCATTGCTTGAGAGAACCGGCTTACCAGCGCGGTGACGTCACCACCCTTCCCTGTGAATAGCAGGGACCGCAGCTGCCGGGCTGACGGGAGATTTCCCTTTGGCTCAAGTGGCTGGGTCCCTGTTGAGTGACACCGGCGGCCCGGATTCGAGTCCCCGACGGTGGGGGGCTGACCTGAGGCAGCAGCGGCGAAGGGTGCCCATGTGAACCCCAAAGCGTTACAATAGAATGAATCTTCAAAAATGAAATGGCTCCATTAGTTTTCCTTGTTGACCTTAAAAATACAGACTTACAATACCGAAGCTTATTAGTACATGTACAGTATATCTGAAAAGCTTTTCAATGACAACCTCTCATTCTCAAGTGTGTCTTTCTCTTATTTTTGTTTATTAAAAATGACGGAGCTTTCTATTCATATTAGTTAAATGAAAACCAATGAGTTCAAGCAAAGATTAAGGATATAATGTTTTTAAATTCAAAGATCTTCCACAGTGATGTATTTGAAATCTGTAATTACAATTTATTGTACCTTAATAGTTACACCATTATTGCATATTTAACCCTTATATCATACACTGCATTAAAATCCATCTGATTATACGTCAGTTTCTTTCTGTTCTAAATAACAGAAATTATATCCAGTGTGTTGCTATTGTATATGGTTATTTTCATAAAGATCCTGGTCAATTGCAGAAGTACAGTTCATGAAAAGCAAATTCTCTAATTCTAGAAACAAAGTGATATCAGTTACACTATTACAAAAATGTTTCTTACATATAAGAATGGTTGAAAAATGATGGGCGGTACTATATGCATATACTGTATATTCTGCAGCAAAAAGATATACAGTAGGTGCTGTATATTAATGTTTATTCTAGCTTGTATACATTAATCAGTGGGAATGAATGCACAAACATATAAAGAGTCTTATACTGTAACAATTTTTATTGTTTATGTGCTTGGATGTGTGCTTTTGATTTCTATACCATAAATAGTCAAGAAAATAGTCAAGAAAACTCAGCAAAAAAAGTCATCTTTGAAAAAATCCACTTAATAACGTGCTTGAGGAGAAATAGATACAGTATCCATTTCTGAATTGTGTAAGACAAGTCATCTCCCATTTCTTCTCTACAAACATATGCACACAGGTACAGACTATATTGAATAAAACATCACATCTGACTTACCATCTTCAGTGGGGACATAGATGTTTAAGTAAAGACAGTCTTCATTTTGATCCTGTACATAGGTTACCACTGTATCCAAATTGGCTGTAAACCACACTGGCAACATGTCATTGAGTAGAAACCTGTCTTCAAGGTACTGGGGGCAAACAGCTGCAAACTGAGTGGCATTTCTGATACCAGTCCAAGAGGAGGGAGGTTCTGGAGGCTGGAACCTCCTCTCCCCAGTGGGTGGGGACGCATATGGAACTCCAAGATACTGTTCCACGGGACCAAGGATTTCATTTGGCAACGGCGTTTTTAATCCCCGCAGTTTTCCATAGTTTGTTGTTATTATCGAATATTGTGCTTGGCAGTTTATAACAGTAAATCTGACAGCCAGAGTGGCGATCCAAAAAATCAAGTTTACATTCAGCATCACACAGATTGGAGTGAAAATGAAGGGTAGCCATACAATTCCCTTTGGCCTCGACATTGTCTACTGCAACATTCACAGGATACGGTCTTCCACAGCCAAGTTTCCTTGTTTGGGCTATAACCTAGCAGTGTGTGCTGACTGCCATGAAGAGTGCCCTCCCCCGAGATCAGTCTCCTCAGTAGTAGCCATCCCAGTGCATGGATTTCATAGTGCAAACCATTCCGCCTTGTTCCAGTTGATGAGAAGACAGGAGTGGCTCTTCCTTCCAGGTCAAATTATTTCCCAGGACTGATTAAAGATGGATCGATTTCCCTGCGAGTGAGAGAAAGTGCACAAATTAAATTGATGGGTTACAGCAAAGGATGCAGTCAAGAATGTTAACCCTTTATCTCCATTCGTCAGCGCAACAAATGTGTTTGACAATAAGGAATGGAAAGACCTATACTTAATATAGTTATTTGTTTAGACATGTCATAATATAAAGGTCATTTCCTTATCTGACCCAGAGCAGCTCATCAGGCCTGAGCTCCTCCTGCTTTCTGTAGCGTTAAACAATCAGAGAGCACATGACCCCTCCCCCCTGGATGGTAAACCAGTGCGTCACAGAGATGACTCCCCAACAATGCTGGTCCCCACTTATACAGCCGGGTGAACTGGGGCAACTGGGGTAAAGTACCTCACTCAAGGTTTACACACTGCACTATGCCAACACAATGTAATGATACAGTTAATTGATTGAGTAAAGTTTTAAGCCATTGCCTTTCCACTTAAATTTTCACAGTACTATACTTTTCATAGTATGACTGCTTTCATTTTGTTGCTGGTAGATATAAATTATTATTAAAAAAACCTCAAGCCACACTACCATTCATCAGCTTTGCGTCTGTCACATCAAAACCATTATTTAAAATAAATGCAAGTAACTAAGACTTCACCATTGCCAACTCAACAAATTTTTATTGCAGTATTAATTGAAATGATGCCATAATATGAAGAGAATAACTGATATCTGTCATCTTATTTGTTTCTTGCACTTTTATCTGAGATTCTTAATTTGCTGACTATCTTTACTCATGAAGTAAATCATGCAATAATGTGTTTGTAACTTCAGAATAAAACATTCATGTTGAGAAAAATGATTTATGTACTTGAGCAATTTCTGCTTCAGCGAACTGTGTTTTATCGAATTTTTAGCTTGCCAGTTCAATCAAAAGTAGAGGACACTTCAAAAGGCATTACTGTGTGCTGTGAGCTCTCAGTGCCTCATAGATGTTCTATGAGTGTGGGTTCCATTATACTTTCAACCTGTCACAATTAAGAATTCCACATATTGATGGGGAAATAGGAGGTTACATGTGGACTTCTGCCTGCTGCTTGTTTAAATTTTGTGAATTAAAAGTCATATTAGCTTTGTTTCTCAAATCAAGAGTAATTATTGAAAAGCAGCCAATTAGATTTTTTTATTTTTAAAATACAACTCTGAACCCTTCTAAGAATTACTGTGCAAATAGGGGAGCCTTTGAAAGAAATATCTTCCCAAAAAGTTAAATGAAATAATAAATCTATCCCACAGCATTGGTAACAAAGTGAACATTTCCTACAGAGCAAAAAACGTTTAAGTTTGTTTAGAAACCTAAGCAAAAAAAAAATGAGTATTACACAGCAGAGAACAGAGAAAGGCAACTGAAAAATATTTGAGGTGCTTATATGTGTAATGGATCAACTTTCTTAGAATACAACTGAGAAAATACTGTTATTTGTGGCATATAGATCATAGATTGGTTGTAGTAAAAATTACAAGTATTAAGAAGAAAATAAGCACACTATGTATTTATGGCATGGAATTTGGTAGCAAATCTAAAAGTTTTAAAAGTTAAACTTACTGTATAGTAGAAGTTTGGAACAAAAGTGCACGTAGCAGCAAAAAATACTGAATGGAGCAAGTCATTAACAAACTTTGATATTGAAGTTGTTTATGTTTTAGAGTCTAATAAAACACATTACTTCCTTGTCCTCTGCTTTGGAGCCCTGGGAACATTTGCTCATTTAACCTGATCAATGGTAGCTTCTCAGAAGCAGCTCAGTATTGCTCTAGCTAAAACCTAATTACAGCCTTTTCCTAAAGGAATAATTTACTTTTTAGCCCCTTAAGGTCACAAAGCAGGTGACTTTTGAAGAAACTATATGGTTGGAGGTTACTAGATTACAAAAGTGACAAGAACGAACAGGAAAAGCTAATATAATAATAATAATAATAATAATAATAATAATAATAATAATAAAAAGGTAAGATTTTGTTTCTGCTTCATGGAAGGTGAAAAAGGAGTCCTTCCTCTCTAAACTATCCAATGGAGTGGTGAGCAGCATCAGCATACATGCTTATAAGGAACAATTAGAGATTAATTTCATGATGGAAAGATACGAGGAAAAATGTCACAATGTTTTGGCCTTTTTCAGATGCCTCAAGGTGCCGGAATGAGAGCTGGCACATCTGAAAATTGCTCCACAGCCAAAATGTTGTGCTTTTTCTTTATTAGGTCTACTATTCAACATGACATTAACCTCCTATACAACACAAGTCTTATATACTGCACAATAGGAGTTACTTTAAACACTTTTGTTAGCTTACATCTCTATCCCTCTAGGGAAATATGAGTATTTACATAATATTGTAATGGTTGTTTTCAGATTGCAGAACTGGAAAAAAAATGAACAATTGTACTATGTACAATATATGAAAGTTCTGGAAACACAATGTCTGATAGACATCTATTTCAACACAATTATATATATTGATTTGTCCTTTTGTTTTTTTCTTTTGTGTTTATGCTGAATTGGGTGACGATAGGCATGATTATATCATATAGGCTAATGCTATAGATTTAACATTTAATATAAAGAAAGAGGAAAATGGGTTACTGTAGTGATGACATCACTGTTGCATGGCAAGGGCTCTTTGATTTTGTAGGTAAAAATAAGAAGAATTCTAAAAGAACCACATCTGTTTACAGGGTGTACAGCTCTCATAATGAAAAGAGGTGCATATAAATCACAGAAATAATTCAGTAGTCATTTATTAATGCCCTCCTCCATTAACAGAGCTGTCAAAAATTGTTCAGGAGAGAAGGGCTGTTAACGGAATCTCATCTCCTGGTATTGATTTATATAACACTGGCTTTTGTACTACATCTCTCTATAGTACAATAGTGCGTATTATGCAAGGGAGACACACATCAGTACTGCAGCTCTATTTTAAACCAATGTTACTAAAAGGAGCACTAATGTGATCAAAACACCTTATATGCATATGAAACTAGGGCAACACCAGTCTTCTGTCATGCTGGTTTGTTCCCAGAGAGTATTGTCATGCCAAATGATACACCTTTAAAATAATATAAAGGAAAAAAAAACAGCCTTTGGGCTACGAAGAAGATGTAGATGGAATAGTGTTGTATACGCCAAGCAATTTATCATTTTTTGATGCAATTTGCTGAGCTCTGGATTCCAGAAGACTGTTTGTTAACTGTTTCATTCCTTTATTTTTAAATGATCTGATCAAGACCTGTCCCAGATACCACATTTTTACTTTTTGCTTTTTCTAAATATTTAAACATACTGGAGAATGTATTTCCTCCTTTTACCAGCAAACGTTTTCTCAATGCAGTCCAACAACTCTTAAGAAATCATTCAGTATAACTTTCAATTAACAATAAATGATTATCCACAATAAATATGTAATTCCAATAATGTTTCATAATCCACAATCTACCTCTGTGAAGGATAATTATAAACAATATACAGTACATTAAAGACCATATAACTGTGGAGAGCAAGACAACACTTTGTGCTGAGTGCTGCTCAGTTTGACCTATTAAGTCCCAGAATGTCTGAACTGAATCTTCAGGAGGTTACGTATTTTTTTTCTGTTCCACAACTCTTTATTATGTGCACTAGGATGTTTTCTGTGAAACTGTATGGTGGGTATACAGTACATAAAACACCACACCAGTGCTACAGTGCTACAGTAGTCCAGAGTTCATCCTGGTTTGTGTTGTGTTGTGTTAAGTGGGCTTGACAGCATGTGACTCCCCCACATGTGAATGGGACACCGGTCTATCATAGAAATGACCCACCCCCTCGTAACACTGGTCGCCACTTGCACACCTGAAGCAACTGAAGCAAAGGGGATAAATGATCTCACTCAAGGTACAATGATAATGTCTGCAGCAGGGACTTGAACCCACAACCCACCTGTTATGGGTTCAACAACGTACACACTACACTGCCCCCTAATGGGTATATGCATGCAGTTCAAAAAGATGTCTGCTGAAATTTCGTGTTTCACAGGTTTTTAATCTCCATGTGTGGACCGTGTGAACAGTGTACTGCATTTTATCTTACATGTGTGTTACAGTTTTTCGTTGAGGAACCAATAAAGGCAAACATCCAAACATGAATATGTTGCACTAACTTAGAGAATATTATTCTCAATTATGTTCTCCATGTAGGGAGAAAATGAGCCATATTCTTAAGTAAGATTGAGTGGTTATTTCTGGACAGGGTTTCTTCAGTTAAGAACATGTTCTTTTCTTCTTTTCTTCCAAAGAAATTTCTTCCACATTTCTGATCTTTCTAAAAAAATAGTCCCGTTTGACCATTTGAGGCTCAGCTGAAATGACACATACTGTAAAATGATCTGGAATTTCAATGCAAATAAAATTATGACAATTTTTCAGAGATAAGCAGGGTAAACAGCTAAACCTACTTTTGGTGACGACGAAGATGCTCTTGAATAAAATTCAGTTGCTAATTGATAAAAAAAATATTTCTTTAACTTTTCATATTTAATTCTAATTTGAAAGTGAAAAACTATATAAATCGAGCATTTGAAATATGAACTCCAAAAACTCCAATTCAGAAGAAAAATCATATTTTGCAGAATCCTAATGAGCATCATAAAGGCAAAATTTGAAAAAAAGTATTTGTATTTTGTTTGTATAAGATTTATGCTCACTATGGTTATCAATTTGTAATGTAGGTCAAGCAGCTGCTTTCTACGTTTTTAAAGAATGAAAATATATAAATAAATAAGCCTACAAAAAAAAAACAGTAAAGTCGCCCCACAAGGCTCTGCAGGGTCCTGATTTTGAACATGGGAACACTGACACAGTGTGCCCCAAGTCACACCATGAACTCACATGAGACTGGTCTGTCAATGAAGCACAGCCACGCTGAGATCCCAAGGCAACCAAGCTTTTCTAATGCTGCGCCTGCAGGCTCTGGAATTCTTTACACTAGCTCTTTTGAAATTA